TTGGAAAATTGTTTTTGTGTTTTAGATAGAATGAGCTTAATTGAGCAAAAACTGAAACGTTCCTTGCGCTTTTTCGTTAGGCTTAGAAAAGATAAAACGCAGGGCGTTACCAATTGATTTATCGCACGGCAAATAGAAGTAGGAGTAAAATCAATGAGAAGCAAATCCATCAGGGATATCAATCTCGAAGAAAAACAATTATTAGTTGACACTCAGCATTCGTTATATATATATATATATAATATATATAATATATATATATATATATGAACTGAACCCTATTCCTTCTCTTTTCTATTTGATATTTCGTGACTCATCTAGTTGACCTTGATAGAGAATTCAGACTCCGACGATCGTTGGTGGGGCAGTATAATGAACGACTTGTAACGGATAACACATAATGCTAATTTAGGTTTCCATATTTTAGATTTTAAATTATAACACAGTGATAATGTGACAAACCTAGTCTCGAAACGTTTGTAAAATTTTTATTTAATGAATTAGTACAAAAAAGAGTATTTGATCATTATGTTATATATATATATATATATATATATATATATATATATATAATTAAATTTATTTTATCAGGGATGCTTTAATTGTCACATCTCTGGACACAGTGACATCGATGTTGGCCGGTTGTACTATATTCGGGATACTTGGCCATTTAGCCCACCAGACCGGGACGGACGATGTGGCTTCGGTGGTGCGCGGGGGAACTGGCTTGGCGTTCGTCTCTTATCCGGACGCTATTGCTAAATTCACCTATCTACCACAGGTAAGCAGGCAATTTAATCCATTTATATTGACTACTGAGTTGATTGAATTTGAACGTTGGCAAACACTTTCCATAGAATGGTCAAATTATTTGGAATTGATCATGCAGGTTAAAGTACTTATATAGGCATATGCATTTTATACCAAATTACTTCTTAATTTTTATCTTTTAATATTTGATTGTTTATAAAAATCACTTTAAAGTAAATGAGAGTAATTAAATCACAACTATGAATTTGGTATTTCAATAATGAAAAAATGTAAGTCCTTAAATAAGGTTTAAAAATCAGTTGTTAATGATTGACATCACAACACAAAAACAACTCGAAAAATAAAAACCAGAATAAAACACAACTAACGGATCATATTAATCAGCTCAACATAACATTGATTTTTCCAATCTCCCGATTTTACATTTCGAAAATAATTTATTTAAAAGACGATTTAGCGAAGGATGTCTAATATCTTTACACAAGGATAGGGCCATAAATTTAAGAACTGACAACAATTCGCTTTGCAATGACTATAAAATAATCCTCGACCATTTAAAAAACACCACTATATATGAATGAAGCGTGTATTTTTATTATTTTATTATTTTACAAAAAACATATGTTTGCCGGTCTTTTTACACTTTCGCAAAATTTGTAAACACAATTCATTTGACAAGCCAACTTGTCAGCTAAAAATTTATTTAGAACAACCGTTTTTGTAGTATCTTTTCATTTCATTTTTAAAGAAAAATTTATTTACAATTTGTCTATATTACAAGAATAATAAGCAATTATTTTTGACATGAAGTGTATGGTCTGGTTTTGGTAGGCAACCCAGTAATTATTCTGTTCAGTATAACTAATGACTTAGAACATGCATGATTTAATATACTTGCTAAAAGCGATTCTCACTTGAGATTATATTGGAAATCTATAATCTCTAATGAAAATTTGATATACTGCCTGATCTCCAGCTTAGCCAAGGTTGGGATCGAATCCAGGACTAGTTTGTGCTATGTAATATCTAATAATCAGAATGCAGCTACTGTATGCAGAGTATAATATATCAACAAAAAAGTTTGATATTCGATTGTAACGATTTTTCTGTCAAAGATAATTTGCCAACGATATCGCAATTTCATTCATGTACGTTACAGTAATATTCTTGTAACATAAATGGCAAATTATTAACCAATGTAATTGCTTTGCATTGAATGCGGAAATTTGTACGGTTACAGCCATTAAGATGTGATAAAACATGTGGCCAGATATTTTAAGGCACTTTCTTCAGCAGAATTCCACAATATTCAACATTTTATAAAAAATTAAATTAACTTTTTCGGTCTCGAGATAATTCACTTCAAATTAATTATTCAACCCAAATGCAGGTTTGTATTCAATGCTTCAGCCTAATTTTATTATCCACATTTTGCAGGTGTTCTCCGTGCTGTTCTTTCTAATGCTGTTCGTGCTGGGAATAGGAAGCAACGTCGCCATGCCTCGTGCATGATGACGGTTATAAGAGATCGTTTTCCTCAGGTAAACCACCACGAATGCGCTACTCTAAATTGTCTCTCTAAATAAGTTTCCGCGCTTTTCCCATCTTTCTGCCAGTACTCAAGTTTCTTGCTTGTTATATTTCGAAATCGTATTGCACGCGCTTTGAGCTTTTCCGGGCGTCATAGAAATAATTCAATGGTCTAGTACACAGTTCAATGGTATTACAGTTCAATGGTCTACAGTCTAGTCTAGACTGTAGACTACAGTTGTTCAGATAAAAGATCACTGCAAACGGATTGAATTATGAAAATATATGAGTACATTTGGAGATAGAATTGAGAGGCATGTAATATTATGAATGAGAAGAGTTCTTGCATCAACAAGTAGCATGCAGTAAGTTTATGGCTATGGTATTATTTTATTCATTTCTTTTGCTACCAATTAAGTGTATAAGCAAAAGGGAATAAATAACAAAAAATTTGTTCTGTATATATATATATATATATATATATATATATATATTATACCACATTCAGGTTTAAGAAAGTTTTACACTCCTTTACAATAGCTCTAGAAATATCAAACTTGCTATAATGCCGTCAGGCGCAGGCAGCGCACGTACAGGAAGAATTAATTGATATGCAAGCGTAAAAAACTTATTTGCAGAAAAAGCGCAAAAACTACGTGAAAGAGCGAACATTTGCAATTACGAGGTAGATTCAGGATGTTTCTATTAAAACGTCAATTAAGACTAGTGACTGCATTGAATTTCTCAAAGACAAAAGTTTTAGTTTTAATTAATTCTTCCAACTCTTGGAACAAATGTTTTATAGTTTAGTGTGGTTGATATATAAATTATATATATATATATATATATATATATATATATATATATATACTACAAAATAACAAAGATTAAAATTGTTAATTAGCTAATCATAGATGGAAAAGTACTCCGTCGTATAAACTGAATATAATCATTTAATCTTATTAATGTTATAATCCATAAAGATTTTAATATAGATATTTTTTTTTGCTTTTGTGTAAAACATTTTTAAAAAAGAATAAAGATAACAATATTAATAATATATGTACTTAATATAATTAACGATAATCATTGGAAATGTAAGCACTGAGTTGTCGATGATGAATTAGAGTAAAAAATTCTATTGTATCTAAATACTAACTGTAAGTGCAATATAGAGCACGTCCTATTTATAAGTCATAATCTTTTCATACAAAAAAGTACTAATTACCTTAATAACAAAACATCTTAATTTTGAAATGTTATACTATTTTTTATTCAGGTAAAACATTGGCAAGCTGCAGTTGGAATCGCTTGTGTCGGTTTTTGCGTAGGAACAGTTTATGTTACTCCGGTAAGTAAATCGAATGTAAATTATATGCATGAATTGAATTAGATGGAATAATTACTTTTGCATTTCTGTTGAAGTTATTAAAACTCCAGTCAAATATATATTATATATATATATATATATATATATATATATATATATATATATATATTATATTATATGTGTGTGTCTGTGTAAATCCCCCAAAAATTTCTATATTGCTGTTTATCCTTGCATGAAATATCTTTTATTAAAAACCTTTGCTCATTGAAGCAACTGTATTAAAACATTCCACATTCGCCGTGTTTTATATAAATGATTTGATGTATTTATTTAGTAAATGCATGTTATTTCAGGGAGGCCAAGCCGTTTTAAACCTTGTGGATCATTTTGGAGCTTCATTCATCGTTTTCTTTTTGGCGATCGCACAAATGTTGGCAATCAGTTGGATATATGGTATGAATTTTAATAAAATTATTTATTCTAGAAATTAAAAAACAAAATATACACTATTCTATGAATTAAAATTTAATTTGGGAATTGAATGTAAATAATAAACTCGCCGAATACACCATATACAAAAATACTTAGAAATTAGATGTAAGATCAGGATTAGAGTTGTGCCAACATTCATGTTCTGGCTCGGTATACTTAATTTGATATATAATTTGATAACAGTTCAATTAAAATTTATCACATTAATGAATCACAACGCAATTGGTATGTTTGTTAGTGATCACATTTCGCAATAATCAAAGAGTGCATTATTAATATGAACAGTTAATGAGATTAATTAGATAGCACAAAACAATCGTAAAATACATTTTAAAAATTCAATTAAAATTAACAATTAAAAATATTTATAAATATCTAAAATATGATTTATATGAAGTTAATTTTATAAGCGATTCATATCGCAATTGTAAATTTTATATTAATTAATATCAGCATTCAATATATCTAATATAATTATAAAATACAATTCTGCACATAACATCTAACAGGTAGTCAGAATCGATTTTATTCCTGAAATGATAAAAAATATCTTATGTAGGTCTGAGGACTGAATGCTTAGGAATATCACAAAAAGCAATATAGATAGGACGTTAAAGCAATCAAGCCGTGAGAGAGCACTTTGCATATTTCTTCTCTGCCATACATAACGTATGAATACAACGTGACACGTTTATGAATTCCTAAAATTGTTTCAGCATTGCACATCAGTTATATATCAACTCATCCGGAAATTGAACTTGCCGTATACAGCGTGCGTCAGCGAAAAGATTTGCATATTCCCTTTGAGACGGGCAGGCGCCTTGTGCCATTTTACCCTTCATTGTGATTTTTTCTTTCAAATTTTTAAAACATCCTAGACATCTCTTATAAAGGCATTATTTGTGTATGACATTATATCTTCAGCCTATTTACTGTAAGTTTATGACAAATACTATAACCAATCTGAATAAATTTCTCTCTCCTGACATTTAATTAGTAAGATATATTATGGAATATAAGTTCCTCAAGTTGGTCAAACAATCCATAATCAACCAGTTGTGCACCTTGCTCATGGTTTTGTAAAACTAATCCTATTGACCTTTTCTTGATACGGCTGTTTTTGAAGTGATACTGATGTACAGAACATCGAGCTGCCCAATAGCGTTAAGGAACTGACCAGAAACAAAAACGCCTTTTAAGACTCTTAAGTCATGATCCATAACAATGTATTTATATATTGAAAATTTACACTTCCAAAAAACTAAGAAGTACAAAAACCAATAAGTATTTTCTATAATTTAACTCAAGGTAATAAATCTTAAAACAAGGATCGGGATACTAGGTGTCGTCTATAGGCGACATTTGCACACAAAGGCAACTATGCAAAGGGGTAAATATAGCTAATAAAAATTTCATATAAAATATAATAAAAATATTGCAATTTATGTCCAAAATGCTGAAAATTTTGAGAAAGTCATGTAAGCAATGCTCATAGCAAAAGGGTTAAATAGAACTGCGACAGTTTGTACATACAAATACGACAAAATTAAGTAAATACTTACAAAATGCTAAAAATTTCAATATTATTTTAAAAATCTAACAGTTTTGAATGTATTTAGTAAATAATGAAAATAAAACCTAGATGGAACCAACTAATAATAACTGTATATCATTCAAAACTTTTTGGGGTAATTTACATAAGCAGATTGAAGATTAATAATAACGGAAATAGTAATTTTAAACTACTAAATAAAAAAATATTTTTATGTGAAACATTTGTTATAAGTTAATATTTTTTATTTATCATTATACTAAGTATATCCTGAAACCAGAAGATATATAAAAATCGTTCTCGATTTTCAACTCTATGACAAGTTGAATATCAGCAATTTTTTTCCAATTATAAATAATTGCCAATTAAAACGATTCCAGCACAGAGTAATTATCGACGCTATAGATATTGACATAAATGTTCAACGTTCTGTAGCTATCGATTGAAAAATAAACTACGCTTTTGTTGTATGAAGAGTCAACATGCCACGCAAGTTTGCTATTCTGTTAATTATCGATGGGTTTTTAATTAGATATTTATTGCGAATCCGTTCTGGGAATGGGAATTATAAAAATTCTGAATGAAGTTATATAGAAAAAACATTTTATAGCTTTTTAAAATGAAACTGCTGTAATAGCATTTTTTTAGATTTCATTTTTTTTAGAATGGTTTAAAATTGTATAGTAATTCAATGGGGAAAATAAATATAATCGGTGGAAATTTGTTAACTTGTCGATATTAAATTTTTTTATAAGTTTCGTGTTTGAAATATAACTTGAACTTGTGTTTTAATATATTGGTTATATGTATATATATATATGTATATATGAAGTTTTAAGTAAATAATTTCTCTTTCAATGATAATTGAAATATAGATATAAAAATAAGTTCCTATCTACAATATTACAAACAATAACGGTACAGAATCGGAAAAACAGCAATAAATGCACGTTCAAACTTATAGGCTAAAAAAATCGTTTTAATCAAACATCATGCAAAATACATAGCAGTTGAATGGGGAAAATAATTATATTTGGTGGCATTTTGTGAACCTCGTATGGGCTTTTCATATGACCATTATTGCATATTTTCAATAATTTTTTGGCCAGATGATAAGTATTCATATCATTCAATTATTATTATCTTTCACATTGATGTTTGAAAAGATAAATAAAAGCTTCATGTTCACATATACAATACAGACACATACACATATATAGACAACGAAGCTAACTTACATAAATATGGTCTTACATCAGTAGCTAGCGCAAGGCACATAATTTTGCACTAACATATATACACTAACTTGTTTTTTATTTTGTTGAACAAAGCATAGCAAAATATTTGTGAAATATATAATATATTTTGCACGGAGTACGTAGTTTATGTGACCAAGCCCGAGGCTGTAATAGTGTTTAAAAATTATTCGATTAAATTATATATATATATGTGTATATATATGTATATATATATATACGCATTAGTTGTATGTATATATGTGTATGTGTACGTGTTTGTACATGTATATCATATATACATGTTTGTTTACGTGTATATTATGTATATATATATATATTACGCTTTTGTATGTTTGTATATATTTTTTTTTACTTTTCATTTCTCTTGTTTATCTATCTGTTAAGTATAATTATTATTGTTATAATTACATTACTTATATCTATAGTTCTTTTTCCAATTTCTGTCATTTTTTCCTAGTTTATATTAATTTATCAATGTTCATTCTGTAGATCCACTGATGATGACATAAAATCCTATGTCAAAACGTTTGGAAAAATTAAAGATTAACTTCTAAATCTTTGCCTTTTATTTGATGTATGCCCTTGAAGAACTTACTCATATATATATATATATATATATATATATATATATATATATATTCAAGTAAAAATGAATAAAGCTACTACTTGTCGTCACATAGTCCAAAACAATAAGTCTGCATTTTTGTTATAACAATTCTGAATGCTTACTGTTACTCTATATACTCCTTACTATGCAAATGAAATTTATATAAAATACATAAATAGGCATAATAGAAAGTATCATATACTTTTTTGTTAGATTTTCTATAAACGAATGCAAATAGTTACTTATAAATCATTGTAATCAATCTTGTATCTTTTTCTCCCAAGGTTTGGACAATTTCTGTCGGGACGTCCGCTTCATGCTGGGCGAGAAAGTGGGCCACGTAACCCGTTACTGGCGTATCTGCTGGGGCGTCGTGACTCCCATTCTGATGGTCGTCATCCTGATATACACGTTAGTGACTCTGACCCCTCTCAAGTACGCCGGTCAAGATTATCCGGATTATGTGTACGGTGAGTACGATGAAGGGACAACGACAACCACCGGGCATTTGTCTAGTCATGCGTTTGTGCATATCAAATAGAACGAATAATAGATTCTTGTGGTTTGAAAATGTTGTTTTGGGATATAAAGTTTATTTTTTGCTTATTAACTTTCTGTGGTGTAAGTTATTGTAATCGTCCAAATATCAAAATTAAAATTTTTAACATGCCTTCACGTTCTGAGAGTTTCTGAACACTATGGCATACCTTAGTAAAAATGAATGCGTGTGTGTATGTATGGATACAATTTTTGTCCACATTTTTGAGCGCACAAATCAACCGATGTAAATAATTAAAAAAACACTAGATTGCTATTGATAGGGAGATGTGCTGATTAGTTTTTGGCAAAGACAGGTTCAACCGTTTCGAAAGTACGGAGCAGAGAGTATAAATCGAGATTTTTTTAACTTCCCGTAGGGTAAGTTATTGTAATGGGCAGAAAATCAAAATTGAAAATTTTTACATTTCTCGACGTTTTGAAGGTTTCTGAACACTTTGGCATACCTCAGAAAAAATGGATGTGGCTTTGTGTGTATGTATGTATGAATACAAATTTTTGTTCACGTTTTCGGGCGCACGGATCAACCGATTTGAATGGTTCAAAAACATTCGATTCCTATTGATAGGGAGATGTGCTGATTAGTTTTTGGCAAAGGCAAGTCCAGCAGTTACGGAGATAAAGAGCAATGAGTGCAGAAAATATAAATCGAGTTTTTGAAAGAACGGAGTATCCGATTTGAATGATTTAAAAAACATTCAATTAGTAATAATTGGGAGAAGTGGGTATTAGTTTTTGGCAAAGGTAGACGCAGCCATTTTGAAGATATAGAGCTAAATGTTAAAAAAAATGGCAGTTTTTGAGAGAACTCCGGTTTAAATGATTCAAAGAACTTTGTGCTTGTTTTAACAAAATAATTGATTTGGGAAAAAAAATCTGCTTCAAAATAATTTTTTTTTTCAATTTTTTTTTCATAATTTTTTTTGTATATCGAAAATTAATCAGATTTTATTTTTAATTCTGACTAAAGTTCTAATATACTTTAAACAAATAATTTCAACTTTGCAATTCAGTTTATATAATTCTTATAAATATTATACAATGTTACAATATTTATTTATAATAATCTATTTGAAAACATTCAGTATTCCTCGAACATTTTGTCACGGTACGGGAAGTTCCAGCAATTTGCCTTAAGGCACGATGCCACACACCCCACTTGTTTATTTACTGAGATTCTGTTCAGATGATAGATATAGCAGTTGGAGAAAAGATGAATATAAAATAACACGAAAGTTTAGGATTGTCCATTATCAAAATTTTTGAAATTTTCATAAATTTTACTTTCAGCTGTTGGCTGGTGCTTGGCGGCCGCTGGCTTGGCTCAATTACCATGTTGGGCAATTTGGGCTTTATACCAACAAAAAGGACAAAATTTCCTACAAGTATGCAATTTTATATTTATAAATTGTATTGTGATTTATTTATACATGAAATAAGGCACATATTATGTGTTTATTTCATTGCGTCATGTTTGACATTTACCTAACTTTTAGTATTATAGGTCAAATATAATTATTGCACCTCATATAAATAAATAGTGCGTGGATTACGTTTTACATTGAATTTATATTTGCACTCTGATTAGCTCATATTGACTTTAACACGAACGCTATATATTTTTTGCGGAAAAGCAAATATTGCGATAATTTAATCAAATAATTGGAATAATTTGATTATTGCACAGCCCAATTGAACTATTTGAACATTATATAACTGCAGCACTATAATAAATAAAAGTAATAAACTCTTCTAGCTTAAATATTTAGTAATGAAAAATAATATGAAAAATAACTGCTAGAATGACTTCTGTTATATTAATTTTTGATATTATTTCGCATTAAAATTCATCATTAAATTTTCGATTTGAAGAGGTATGTCTTGCCACAAAATCTGACTGAATAATTTTATGTTTTCTTGACGTTGCCAGTCATTCTAAATCATTTTATACCAAAACAATCAATCACTAAAACAAATAAATTACTAAACTTTTGTATAATTTTTTTTTTTTTTTTATGTAAATTAACTATTTTTGCTAACTTAGTAATTACAGCATAAATATTCATAAGAGTAAATTTGTTTATGTATAATAAATTTTCCAAAATTTGTAATAAATACAGTTTCTGATATAGTATAAAGTATACTATGTATCAAATTAAATACTACATATAAGTAATATGTAATAGAGAAAAGTCATTGTTTGAAACGCACGTCGATTGTTTATTAAAAATTTCGCCTAAATCAGTACAAAACAGTAAACAGTATTATTTTACTTATTATTTAATTTTTTTTTACATTTATAGAGGCTTTGGGGTGCTTTATCCCCTCAATCGAATTGGGGACCCCTGGACGACCAAACTCGCAGCGAGTGGAGAGCTTTCAAACAACTCGAAGACGAAAAGGAACTCGCCCGAGGCTCACCAAGAAACTTTTGGGAAAGGCTGAAAGACGCGTTACTTGGACAATAATTATTAAACCTTGTAATATAGCTTAAACTAACATTATTTCAATTTGTAAAGTACTTAAAGGTGATGTATAAAACAAATAGTAATTAAAAGTATTTTAAGATACTTCGATGAAATTTGTACCTACTCAAATTGGTTCAAAGTAATTATGATTTGATATGTCATCAGTATTCAAAATATATTCAATCTTACTTTTAAGTTAGATTATTGGTGCAATAAGATATTAATTAATCATACTTAGCCCGTTAATTTAATACAAAATTATTTTCAACCTAAAAATTAGTAACAAAAAATAATTTAGTAAATCTAATTGATTTTAGGCACATTATAAAAAGCACCATGAAGATGTAATATATTTAATGCAATGCAATAAGATAATGAAGCAATTAACTGAAAATATTTAGGTCTTATTGGACATTAATTCGCGGATCAAGATTGACAAAATTTAATTAGAAATTAATAAAGCACAGCTTAATTCAGTTATAAAAATTGATTTTTAATATAACGAAATGTGACTGTGATATTATTTCTTAATCAACGCGCAATATTTTTATAAAAACTACAATGGCATAACATTCTATAATCTCTAATATATAAATTCGCTTTCTCATGTGATATATAATAGAAATACATTACTGTCAGTTTAATCGAGAAATGACAGAATGCAATTTAGAATTTTGATAACATAAGAATATATGTACAACATGTACTTATATATAAAAAATATTAAAATTCTATGCTAAAAAGATAAACTTGCCATAAGTCTTAAAAAAAGACAGTCTTTGATTTATTATATTATATACATATCGAATTACTGTTACTAAAACATTGAAATGCATTTTAAATTTAAGTTTGTATGGAATTCATTACTATATTATTATTAATTTTATTATAATTATGTAAAATTAGTTTCCATATTAATAGTATTATATGATAAGTGTTTACAAAGTCTCGAATGAAGGCTGTATTTATTATATATAACACATACAATATTAACAAATACGCTGAATTAAAGTAATTGTACATAATGAATAAATAATATTTTAATTTCTATATCTATTTGCATATATTTTACACGTGTGTGGAGAAAAAAAACAAGCTGAACCTTTCTTCTGGCAAAAGTGTTAATAATAAAAAATAGTAAATAAAGAAGTTAATTGAGTTAAAAAAGCAATTAGCAAGAAGTAAATTAAATAAATAGGTTTTTAAATCTGCTTATGAATATTTCAGAACCATGAAATTTATATTTTGCATTGATATCATCGTAAGATATTGAAAATATTTGTCTTCTTGCCGTTCCATTTTACCACGCTTAAGGGGTAAAAAGGAACAGGTAACAAATTTCTGAAAACCAGCAAAAACACATCTTTATATTAATTAATTACCTCAGTATTTGAATGAACATAGTCAATTAGCTGTTTGTTAGGTATGTGTAATTAGGTTGGTTTTTCTAATAAAATTGCTCTAAGTCAAATTGGGTCCGCTCTACCCTATAAATATAGATCTATATATATGTATATATATATATACATATATATGTATATATATATATATATATATATATATAAATGGATGTGTATGTTTTGAAAGTGCAGCAGAATATATTATTAGGATAAAAAAGATGGCCCTGCAATAATGAGACAGAGGCACTAAATCTATTCCCGCAACATTTGTAGTACTAGACATTCTTCCAATGTGAAACAAGCTCATCGTAAATCTCCGACCTGTCTCAGGCGCAGCAATAACTCTTGATTTAACATCTGCCGTTTCATTGCGGTAACTCCGATATCGACACACCTCTCATGTATTTGAAAAAGATAGAGAACTGTTCACATATACGCTAATGGAGTAACATACAAAAAAGAACCAAAATCGTATACGGAATTCCATTCTGACTAGGTACATTTATATTTATTTCGATTATTCCGAATCCATACCGCGGTCTCTACGAATCACGGCGTATTTTGTTATATCACGGTTTATTATGGTTAGTACGTATGCAAACGGGCAAGCTTGGTTCAACCTTTAGAAAAATTTAAATGGTTTTTATAATCTCACTGAAAAGTAAAGAATGTAATAATACACACACACACACACACATATATATATATATATATATATATATATATATGTGTGGTGTGTGTCTATACAGGGTGTCCCAGAAGAGTAAATTTGAAAATTATGAGCTTTTAAGTGCAATCAGAGCTTTGCTGAAACTGTGACTATATTTTAGTAATTGTGATTAGTTTTTAATTTTTTGTACATATAAACTTTTGATCAATAACCATAAATAACATTTCTATGTCAGAGTCCAAAATAGTAACACAATTGCACCAAGTTTTCTACGATTAAGACTTAAGCTATGAGTATAAATTTTGAAAATTGGTCGACTTTGAGAGGCCATCCCTTAAAAAATGCTAAAGTGTGCTGGCAGTGCAATAAAAAATTAGAGTAAAAAGATAACAATTTAAAAAGAACGCTATTTTTATTAGTGCATATCGGTAATTCACGTACATTGACCTAGCCCCCAAAACAAAAACTTGAACTTATTGTGAGTGAAATGCACTAGCAACCATCATGTTATTTTAAGTTTTTATTTTTTCTAAGAACTATTGATGTAACTTGGCAAAACACTTTGATACATTTTTTTATAAAAATACTTCTAAAAGAAACGCCGTTTTGAAAATTTTGAATTCATAGCTTACAAAAAGTTCTATTTCTAGAATTCTTGGGGCCATTGTTCTGTTATATTTGACTGCGATTATATAAATGTTATTCACGATTACGGATCCAAAGCTTAAATGCCCAAATTAACCACAATAAGCAGAAAATGACCAGAGTTTCGACAAAGTTCAAAGTTCCTTCAAAAGCTCATAATTTTCAAAGTGTATGAAATAGTTTTATTCACGATAGTGACGATCGATACTGACCCCCCGTTTGGACTTGATATTGAGTTCTGACACACCCTGTATCTACATCAGACTGATAAGTTTTAACGAGAAAAACACCATATTGCTAATTCGGTAGAAAACAAAGTTCGACTAATTGTTAGCATGTATTTTCTCAAGAGTTTGGTCAACCATGATTTTGTCAATAATCAACATATTTCTTTAGCAATAAATCATAATGGGCTCGCCCGTAGGTAAGCGGTTAAGAGCGACGGGACTTGTTTCAGAGGTCTCGGGTTCGATACCACTTCGAGCAGCCTGTTGTCAGGCAACATTGAAAGCGATTTTTACTTGGAAATATAGATAGCAATATGTTTCCAAGTAAAAATAGCCCTCACCCGGCATTGTTGCACCATACTTGCCCTATTACAGAGATTGTAATAAAAATTTATCATCACAGAGATGTGACAACTGTTTGGGTTGTCATCTGTAATAAAACAAACGTAGTTTGTAAGATATTAATCACAACAGCTCATAGAACTCATAAGTTCTGATCGCTGTTCAATAAAATTAAAAAAAAATAATAATAATAAATCATAATGTTGTTCTAATTCAGGCACGCATTATCGATATCATCATCCCATAAATAACTTTCATTTTAACCAGATCGAAGTAAACGCGGCCGGCTGATAAACTTCTGCCTCCGGCTGCCACATATAGCACTCCGGGGCGCGATAATTTATTTATGCTCGTATTCGCTCTCTACGGCCCGGTACTACGTGGGTACCTGGGCATCAGAGTTGCAAGAGAGCACATAATAACAAACAAGCCGCCTGCATGCGCGATGTACGAGCGGCGCGCCGAATGTAAATCGAAATCACGCTCGAATCTGGTCTAGTCCGTTCTTTCAACTGAAACGGAATTGAAACAGATAGATTGGTGCAACAAATGTGCAAAATAGGAAATTATGAAGAAACACTAAATGGAGATGTGGTTTCTAAGGGTATTGTATACAAATTAAAACGTGCTTTTGCGCTAGAAGCTTGGCAGTTGTGCTAGATCAAACGAAGGTTCCACATCTAAAGATTCATACTATTATTATAGGTGAAGAAAGGACAAAATGTTATGATGTTTTGTATTTTAGTGTTAATCATTCATCAATCATTCAATGATAAGTCTCAATCATTTCTGACCATGTTGGATTTATTGACTACCAATAACATAGTCTTATTAACTAATCATAGTTTTAATTGATTGAGAATTATAATAACATAATTATTAACCAAAAATTCAAATAATTGCAGAAACCTTTTTGTTCATACAGTACAGACAAAACGACACTTTAGGTAAGCACATGCTAATATACTAATTTTTAAGAAAACAATTCATAAATAAAACGTTTGGTCCTCTTTGGGACATCAGCTCATGATGAGCCTAAAGGGATAATTATTAACCAAAAATTCAACTAATTGCAGAAACCATTTTGTCCATACAGCACAGGCAAAACGACACATTAGGTAAGCACATGCTAAGATACTAATTAAAAAAAAAAATTTCATAAATAAAACGTTTGGTCCTTTTTGGACCATCAGTACATGATGAGCCTTAAGGGTGTAAACAATACATCGCGTCCAATCTTTCCAGCCTCAGAACGTGTAAAGAGTTCTTTGCAGTAAATGCAAGTCTTTTCTATTTACTGGTGGATCCTTTGATCTGTTTTCAGGAGTTAGAGTACAAGTTAAAAGACCTTTTAAAGCTTTATTATTATGTTTGACATCGATGAAAATTCCTTGCGTATCATTTTGTCCATTGTATAAAAATGTCAGTTTGTCCGAGAGTAATCATGTTGATCGAAATTATTAATATTAGCATAAGTTAATTGATTTTAATAGAAACAATTACAAGTTACAATAATAAATACACAAAACATAAAGCCACTTTGAAAATAATCATTTGAATGCGAGGTGTGCCATTGAACTGATTATTGAGACCTGACTTCGACAATGACGCCCAACATCTGACTGAATTGTGGCCGTGTTTTTCTTTATGTTATACAGCCAGGAAAACGTTACTAAACGGGCCATTGTATCGTTTTGTCTATATTTGCTGTCTTTT